GAAGTGTTCTCCCTCTCTCTCTCTCTGGGGTTAGGGTTTTCTGTTTATCCAACCAAGTTAGGATTTAATAATGTTTCAGTTGTTGATTGCTTTGTGAGATGGTTTGCTTTGTGAGATGGTTTACTTTGTGCTGGTAAGAAAAGCATTCTTTAGCCTTTGGCAAACTTTTGATTGATTGCTTATTGGGGGGCTTATTGGATTCATGGGCGAGCACTGATGATCATTCGAGACATCAACTTCATTTACCTACGTTTCGATTTTGGGCAGTTTCGACACAATTTTAGAAAGGCAGACTTTGTTGTTGATGCATTAGCAAATTAGGACCATTTAATCTTTAATTGTCATATTTGGGAGGACACCCTACGCATGGTGCCTGTTTTTTATTTTAATAGGATTCAAAATTTAAATAAAAATACTAATCATACCACATTATGTACTACCTGTTTAATAAAAACGACTCTTACCGTATAAAAAAAAAATAAAAGTGACCTTTATTATATTGGTGGGCTCTCGAGTTAGTGTAGGTGAAACACAGCGTAATATGCCCAGCAGTATCCTTTTCGTGGTTTGCTAAAATACCAATGTGGACAGGAGAGGCCCTCCACCTAACTTTTCTATCTTCTCATAAGAAAATTCGCTAACCTTGCCGTGCCTGCCAGGGAAAGGAATCAATCTTGACACGTGGCGCAGTCCCATTGGGTTGGGGGTTTAATCTCACCGTCATTAAGTCGGCAATTGGTCCTATAAATGAAGGCGCTTTTCGATGCCAAGGCCTACATCGTTGAAGAAAACAAAAGCAAAGCGAAATCCCTAAAGCTCATCGAAGTTCTCTCTAACTCTCTCTCTCTCTCAAGGTTCGTATTTCCTATGTTGCTGCTCTGTTTCTTCAATATTTTCTTCAGTTTGATTTTGTAATCGTATCGTTGTTAATAATCAAGATGCCAATTTGTTGTTTATAGTTTCGTCAATATTTTCTTTTGTTCGATTGTTTAATCCTGTCGTTGTTAATAATCAAGATGCCATTTTTTTTAATCAATTTGTGTACGAAAATTGGTTAGAATCTTCTAGATGTGTATGAAATCCTAAATCTTTGCCTGATTTAATCAATTACTTTCGAGGAACAAGTTGAGTTTAATTGTATGAATTCCAAGGAACAATAGAAATCTATCAGATACAAGTTGCAATTTTGATTTTAGGGTTTGCTTTGTGTTATAATATGCAGCTCTCCGCGAAAAATTTTGTATCAATTTTTTTGTTTGGTTATTTGATTGTACACGAAATTGTTAATTGGTTGCTGTTAAAAATCAAGATATGGCAGAGAACTGTTTCGAATCATTCCATACATGTGTGAAATAAGTTTTGTTGATAAAATTGTGTATTGTTGTCTGATTTTAACAAATCACATTCCAAGATGCAATTTTGTTTATGTCAAGAAACAAATCTGATTCATGATTGTTTTCTATATATACAGATGCAGATCTTTGTGAAAACCCTCACCGGAAAGACCATCACCCTCGAGGTTGAGAGCTCTGACACGATCGACAATGTCAAAGCCAAGATCCAAGACAAGGAGGGTATTCCCCCGGACCAGCAGAGGCTGATCTTTGCTGGCAAGCAGCTTGAGGATGGCCGCACCCTCGCCGACTACAACATCCAGAAGGAGTCCACCCTGCATCTGGTGCTCCGACTCCGCGGTGGAATGCAAATCTTTGTCAAGACTCTCACCGGAAAGACCATCACATTGGAGGTTGAGAGCTCCGACACAATTGATAATGTCAAGGCTAAGATCCAAGACAAAGAGGGCATCCCACCAGACCAGCAGAGGCTCATCTTTGCTGGGAAGCAGCTTGAGGATGGCCGCACCCTGGCTGATTACAATATCCAGAAGGAGTCCACCCTCCATCTGGTGCTCCGACTCCGCGGTGGAATGCAAATCTTTGTCAAGACACTTACTGGGAAGACGATAACCTTGGAGGTTGAGAGCTCGGATACCATAGATAATGTCAAAGCAAAAATTCAGGATAAGGAAGGCATTCCCCCCGATCAGCAGAGGCTCATCTTTGCTGGGAAGCAGCTTGAGGATGGCCGCACCCTTGCCGATTATAACATCCAAAAGGAATCAACTCTGCACCTGGTGCTTCGGTTGCGTGGTGGTATGCAAATCTTTGTGAAAACTTTGACTGGGAAGACAATTACTTTGGAAGTGGAAAGCTCAGATACTATTGACAATGTGAAGGCCAAAATCCAGGACAAGGAGGGTATCCCTCCAGACCAGCAGAGGTTGATTTTTGCAGGCAAGCAGCTGGAGGATGGAAGGACCCTTGCCGACTACAACATTCAAAAGGAGTCGACCCTGCACTTGGTGCTCCGTCTGCGTGGTGGGATGCAGATCTTTGTGAAGACCCTCACTGGGAAGACGATAACTCTGGAGGTGGAGAGTTCTGATACCATTGATAATGTGAAAGCTAAGATTCAGGACAAGGAGGGCATTCCTCCGGACCAGCAAAGGCTCATCTTTGCCGGTAAGCAGCTGGAGGACGGGAGGACTCTTGCAGATTACAACATTCAGAAGGAGTCTACCCTTCACCTTGTCCTTCGTCTCCGTGGCGGTATCTGAATTCTGAATGATGCTTGTGGTTCCATCCTTGTCTGATCAGTGAACAGTGACTTTTAAAAAAAAAATTCTGTAATTTTATATTTCGTACTCTTTAATTGGCCAATGGATGGGTCACCAGAAACTATTTAGTTAATAAATAAAAATGCTTTATACGCATATGCTCTGTTCCTTCTTGCATTTGGATTTTTTCTGTTTTACATGCATCTGTATTGCTCTGCCTCAGACCGGCAGAGGGGCTCATCTTTGCTGTTAAGCGGCTGGAGGACGGGGAGGACTGTTGCTGATTACAACATTCAGAAGGAATCCACCCTACACCTAGTCCCTCTGCCTTCGTGGTGGTTTTTAGATTTTCGTTGATGCTTGTGGTGCCATCCTTGTTTGAACGGCAGCATTAGCTATAATAACAAGTTATGTGGTTCTGTATTTTCATGGTCTTGAAATGGCTGATGGATGGATGGCTTATCTTATTACTCTTTATTTAGTGACACATGAAATTCCTTTTCATGCACTTCTGTTTGCGTTTTGTATGTTTTAGTTTATATATATGTATATATGTGAATTGTTCCTTCATGTTGTGCTTGGATTGTTTGGATCGAAGGTGTGGTCTGTTTGCATTACTTGTCTGTTAAGTTCGCACTGATTGATTTCCTGAATCTGGTGCTGCTCACAATTTGTAAGTGGCTCTTATCTTCCTTGTCTTAGTAAGTGGCTCTGTTCTTCCTTCTCTGGGCCATGCTTGGTCTTGGATGATTGTTGTGTGTAATTGTTTGTCTTGCTTTTGTCATCCCGTCAACCGAACAGAATACAATTAGCATTTGAAGATTGAACAACAAAAGAATGTGTTTCTAGACACAAGAAACTCCGACAACTCTCAGGAAATTAATACCTCAACTATTAGCATGAGTAACAAGCTAAACTAGAAATATTCAGCCCTAAACATGTAACTATTGAATATATAAATGTTTTAGATACTCGTATTTTTTACTTCGGCCTTTCTAATTTTACAATTTTAGCTCCGCCCCTATGTATATCACATTCACATATATCAAAAATCATATTGCCTATTCATTACAATCATAGTTGTCATCGACGAGTTTTTATATTATGAAATCGTTGCATAATAGCCTCGTCATATATACTATTAAAAATGTCTTTCTCAATATATGCAACCAAACAATTGTTTATCAATAAATCCCAAATTTAATTCCGTAACCGATTCTTCACAATATTCATAGTAAAAAATACCCGCTCTATACTTGTGGTTGCAACCGATAGAATTAATGCTAACGTCAAAAGCAAGACAAGCCGGTGAGGGGCGCTTAGAATGCTCGAAATGTGGGGTTTCGAGGAACAAGACAAGTCGGCTTGTGTTTTGAGAATTGTTTTACAACAGTGAAGAGCGCTTTAGAGGGCTTTTGACTTGGTAGGGCTGTATGTGGGTAGAAGATAATTGTAAATATAAATAATATTTATAATTGTCCAATGGGTGTTCCGCATAACAAGAACTTGGGTTGGGCCTTATTAAAAATATGATAATGTGCAAAGTAGCATACAATTTTTTTTAATAATAAATTTGAGGAGAGGCCTGGGACCACCATGGTCCTATATGCAGCCTCCGCCTTGGGGATCGGTCCTGCATCGGTTTTTGTCTTGGAAAAGTCGGTTTAAATTGAACATAACTGGTTATGTTAAGTTTATTTATTCATTTATATTTAAAATTATTAATAAGCTTAATTAATATTCAAATCACATTAGTAACTCTAAGTAATATCTAGATATTTTAGCCAAATTAATACATAAATGTCTTAGTTTTAATTTATACCCAATTAAATAACAACTATCCCAACTTCTTTTTCTTTTCGGTGAACCATAACCGTTGTTGTTTCACTTCCATCTTTCTCTCTTTTTCACCTTTTTCTTTCCATTTCCCTTCGTCTTTATCTCTTCACCTCTTTCTCTATTCTACCTCTTTTGCTCTTCTTTTATCTTTTCTATCTCCTTTTCCTTCTTCCTATTTTTCTCTTATTCACCTCTTTATGTTTTTATCATTCCAAACTCGAAATTGGCCGAACTGAATTGGAATCGCATAGGTATGGTTTAGTTCAGTTATTCTAAACACTTTCTATGTAAGTCGAACCAAACTAGACCTTCTGTAAGTTTTGGTTTAGGTTTAAATTTGTGAGAAAAATCGAACTGAACCGGATCATGCGCGTCCACTCCTAATTTATACAGTGGATATTTACAAAACCATCCAATATTATTCAAGATGTGGTTCGAGGATTGTGATGTCACTGCTATATTCAAATCAACAAAACATAATTTTCTATTTAAAAAAAATTGACATCACTGAGAGGTATGGCGCGTGGCCATTAATATCCTCCATTCAATACTCCCCTTCTTGATCATCCACCACATAATTTTGATCTCCATTGATTTCGGACTCGTGCAAAACGTCATTGATGAAATTGTCCAAGTCCCTTAGAAAACTGCTAGACGAGATGTCATCAGCGACTCTTTGATCTTGAATATTGAACCTTTTATCACCATCATGTAGATGATGATGCGATGGGATCATGGCAGCTGCCTTTGTGCAATTTAATGTTATACTTTGAATCACCTGAACCTGATCATCATTAGCAGTACAATTACCACCTTCATCAGCGCCATCATTTTTAGCATTAATCTTGATTCGATGTGGTCTTGCCTCTGCAACTCTCTTGCTCAAATTAATATTCCAGAAGTTCTTGATTTCATTGTCTGTCCGACCTGGTAATCTTCTAGCGATGAGGGACCACCTAATCATCACCTAATTAATTAGTATTCAACTTGAAAATATATTTAATATGCATCTTAGATATATTAATAGCTTGAAATAAGACTATATAAGTTCGATCTCTCTTTCCGTACGTACATTAGAGTAGTTTAGAATATCGCTTTGTTAAAGGAAAAAAAAATGACATGTCAATATGTCAACATGTCATACCTGTTTCCAAGAAGCTTGTGCATTCTGATAATAAGGTCTTCTTCTTCGGGAGAAATGTTGCCTCTCTTAACATCAGGCCTAAGATAATTCAACCATCGCAGTCTGCAACTTTTCCCACTCCGCTTCAACCCTACAAGTATATATAGTTAATTACATGTATGTATATTATCTCGAAGAGATGTTATGAAACTAAATTCTTTTATATAAATAAAATAAAACCAAAATGGCCGATCGAAATGTCTGAATATGTATATTACCAACCAGTTTTCTTAGCAACATGGCTCCATTTTCCTTCTCCATGTGTTTTGATGTAGTCTGCAAGGACTTTATCTTCCTTAGGACTCCATGCTCCTCTTTTCACCACATCTTTATCACCGGATAGTTTTCTCCCCATATATATATCTATCTCTCTGTGTGAGGCGTACATTTTCTGTGTGGAGAATGTATATCTATGCACATTGCGTATATATATGGTGTGTGTGCCTGAGGAACAAAGGTCCCACTTTTGAATCGAAGGCCCAAGAAACTAATATTCTTTTGGAGTTGAGATTAATTCTTAAGATTTAACCGCACTGTCCCTTTGTTGGAGAAATTATGAAATGATACTGTATTATGCTTACTTGGTATAGCTTGTACACATGTTATATGAATGAACAATGATTTATGTTTTCCCCTTTTTAGAGAATAATATCCATAAAATATCACTTATACGTGATCGTACTACACTTCCCATTGTTAGAAAAATTAATTAACCATGCACTCAACCTGACATAAGTACCCATTAATATTTAGATTTAACTTGGTATTGCTAGGTATTTGCATGCCTATGAGAGAAAGAAAAACCCTAGACAACGGTGCCTTAAATGAATGTGTGCAACCGGACGTACTTTTTTCCTTCCATGTATGGAATGCTTACCAGTTCTGTAAAAACTTCATTAAAAACATTCTTAGATTTTGACTGGACGAGTTAAAAACTAAAAACTAAAATTGAACTGTACTCGGGAATGGAGTAGCTAGCTGTACATATTAATCACGTGACAAGAACAACATACGTAAGTGGACAAGAAAAACTCATTCCAATAAAAATGAAACAAAGAAAAAGGCAAATTTGTATAATAGGAACAAAAAGCAAGATAGCTCAGCATTGTAAGCCTTGTAAAAAGCCATATCAGTCTCATGACTTGCAGTGACAGCATCTTTACACTACCGTGTATCAGTCTCATGAGCTGTACTGACTTCAGAGCAATATGGATGGTAATTAATTACAAATACGTTCGAAACTTATTTCTCGACTATGTCTTTTTCTTCAACTATTAATTATTATTCCTGATGAGATTAGAATACTCCCAACAAGTAGACATTGAAGTGTCACCATACCAAATAGCCGTTCACATCCGCCATGCTGTTTTAAATCTCAATGAGAGTAAGGAGACAATGTGTTACGTCCCCTTCTCTTTAAACGTGAATCCATGTGCAAAGAGCAAGCGGTTTGGACCACCCCATATGTTAACGATGGAAAAAACAGAACCACTTGTTCATAAGTTATTTCGTCATCTAAAATGTAAAATGTGCAAAAAAATAAAACGTATTAAAATTGAAATGAAAATATGAATACTCAAATGACTAAACAATTTCCGACTTAACTGATTATTTGCATAGATAATTTCTTCAAAGAGATGCTAAAAACTGGGTGATGAATTTTCAAGCTTAACACATGAACAACACATATTGAGTGACGTGGAGTACGTGTGGTTGTTGGGCTTTAACACGTGGGCAACCTACTCTAATACCAGATGTTGATAATTTAGGAAACACAAACGACAAGAGATAGAGAGCTTTTGTTGAACTCAAGTAAATTCTCATTGACTGAAACACAGCTTAACTAACATGTACAAAGTAACTGACTCAGATAAAGAAGGAACAACTAAACATCCCATTACTACCAATACTAACATACGTCTCCCACTCATACTAATACTATCAGACTTATCCCACAACTAGAACACCCCTATTGAATACGTAGAGCCCAACTGATTTCCTAAAACATAGGTTCAAACATTTCTGTTTCCGGGTTTTCACTGAATACATGTTCGCTACAAAACAGGGGAGTTTGTCTTGAGTGAATGAATCCAGAACGGTGCACAAATTTTGAAAACAACGTACTGTCGTTCTCGGTGTTTTCAGAAAACGTATCCAAAACACGGGATTCAGCTTTTTAATGTTGGCGTGACTTGTGGATATTGACTTACTTTCCTTACACACCAAGGATTCCTATTTTATTTGTAATTGATTTACTTTAATTCCTGATTTCCTACTGTAAATAGATTTAGGAATTTATTATTTACTTGCCCATTCAGGTTTTGTTGTATTATAAATATGACCTCCTACAAGGAGAAGAATACATAGAAAATTCCCACAAACAAATATTCTCTTATAGTTTTCATATTTTAGCAGTTTATGCCTTTGGTGGGATGACAGAGTCAAGTTAGAGGTGAGTGGAAAATCAAACACCAGGGTGGAATTTGTAGCAACATGAGCAAAATTTAGAGCCTCTTGGATTTATGGGACGCCCTACCGGGAGGAAAAAGAGGCTTTCTGGGATTGGTTAGGAACAACTCTACAATCTATGATGATACCATGGATATGTATTGGAGAGTTTAATGAAATTTTATGGGCATTTGAAAAAACTGGTGGGCGGGCTATTGATAGCAGAAGAATGAGATATTTACATGACTTCATGGATAAGATACAACTTATGGATTTGGGGCATCAAGGACAAGCTTTCACCTAGAGTGGAAAACGAGCGGATGATGTGCTCATTCAAGAGAGGCTAGACAAGGGCTTAATTAATACCCAACGACAAGAAGTGTGGACAAATTCTTCCATTACTCAGCTGCCTGTCGTGGGCTCTGACCATTGTCCCATCCTTGTGGAGACAGAATCTCGAATAAGAAGAGGGTGTAAGCCTTTTAAGTTTGAGGCTTCTTGGACTTCTGATCCGGAGTGTAGAGAAGTGATTGGCAGAACCTGGCGAAGGGAATTTCATGGAAATAGAATGCATGTGTGGTGAAGGAAAATTAGGGGGTGTCATGAGGATTTGCAAAAGTGGAGTGATGGGAAATTCTTAAATAATCGTAAAATTGCAAATTCCTTGTTGGTGGAGCTTGATCAACTTCAGCTGAACTGGGATGCAAACTATGGGAAAATTGTGCAGGTAAGGAACAAGCTCAATGATGTTTAGAGGAGTGAGGAAATGTATTGGAAGTAGAGGGCGAAAACCAAGTGGCTCAAAGAAGGAGATGCAAATACAGCCTTTTTCCACAATAGTACGGTTCATAAAAAGAGGAGAAATCGGATTGCCTGGATAAAAAACCAAAATGGAGACTGGGAGTGTAACGATGCTCAGGTTCGTAACACTATTGAGACATACTTCCAAAACTTGTTTACTTCTGAAGGTTAGAGAGACTGGGGTGACATCTTATCCTTTGTCTCTCCAATCATCATTGAGGATATTAATTCAAGCTTGATGGCCCCAATAAATGATGAGGAGATTAGACATGCTATTTTTCAAATGGGGGCCCTAAAATCCCCAGGGCCTAACGGTTTCTCTGGTATCTTTTACCAAAAGTATCGGAGCATTATTGGGGAGGATATGTGTGGGCTGGTTAAAAGATTTTTCTCAGAGAACGAAAACATTTCTGCTATGAATGTAATAGAGATTGCTCTTGCACCAAAGGTTCTGAACCTGGAGTTGGTCACTCAATTCTGCCCTGTTGCCCTGTGCAACTATTCTTACAAGGTAATCTCGAAGATTTTCGCTAATCACCTTCAACCCCACTTAAATGCAATCATTTCTCCCCAACAATGCGCGTTTATTCCTGGAAGGCAAGTTCAAGATAATATTTTTATTGCACATGAGGCCTTCCACTCTTTGAAGTTGGATATAAATAAAGCTTACAATAGAATTGAGTGGTCCAGGCAGTGTTATTGACAATGGGTTTTGCAGAGACTTGGGTGCAAAAGGTGATGAACTGTGTTCCTTCAGTGGAATTCTCTATGATAATCAATGGAAAGACAGGGGGTGGTTTCAAGCCATCGAGGGGAATTCGCCAGGGGGACCCTATATCTCCATATCTATTCATAATTGTCTGTGATGTCTTATCTTATATGCTTAACCATGCAACAGTGAGAGGCTTCCTTAAAGGTTTAAATTTTTTGGCAGGAGGGGACTGACTTTAACTCACCTATTTTTTTGCAGATGACTCCCTCCTATTTCTCAAAGCTATGAGTCAAAGTTGTATAGTGGTGAGCCAAATGACCTTTCTGGAATCTGAGCTGTTCTTCCATGACCCATCATCCAATTCTACGCTTCAGGGGGAGATACGAAATGAAGAGCAGAATTGGAGCAACTTGGAAAACGAAGAAATTCTCCTATGTACAGAAATAATTGATCATCCCGAGTCTGGAGCACAAGATTACTCTCTGCCGAAAAGCGACCAATCGCCCATTCATAGCGATCAATTACCTGACCCACCTGATCCATACGAAGATATTTCTGATCCGAGTCTCACACCTACAGACAATACAGAACAACAAGATGAAGACCCCCCCTCTAACTCAACAGTACCAACAGACCAATCTCCTGAGAATATCCTTGAGGTAACTACTCCTACTAGACTTGTGCATTTAGAGGATAAAACTATTGGATATCAATTACCTTTCAGGCAAAATCGTGGGAAGCCACCAAATCGCTATTCACCTGATATTGGCAAGACATCCAAGTATCCAATTGCAAATCATGTATCTACTGAGAAGCTGTCTGAACCACTCAAGGCTTTTGTGCATCAGTTGTCTGCTATCCATATTCCAACCAAGGTCTCTGAAGCATTGAAAGATCCTAAGTGGGTCCAAGCTATAAAAGAGGAGATGAAAGCTCTTGAGAAAAATCAGACTTGGACATTGGAGACTATACCACGAGGAAAAAAGACTATCGGATGTAGATGGGTGTTTACTATAAAACACAATGTAGATGGATCTATCGAGCGATACAAGGCAAGACTTGTGGCAAAAGGGTACACACAGACCTATGGTATAGACTATGAAGAAACCTTTGCTCCAGTTGCAAAGTTAAACACCGTCAGAGTCTTATTGTCCCTTGCAGCTAATTTGGATTGGCCACTACACCAGTTTGATGTAAAGAATGCTTTTCTACATGGCGAACTCACGGAGGAGGTGTACATGGACATTCCTCCTGGTTATAATACTACTCAGACTGGAACAGTTTGCAGGCTAGGAAAAGCATTGTATGGGTTGAAACAGTCACCACGTGCATGGTTTGGACGGTTCACCATGGCAATGAAGAACAATGGTTTCAAACAGTGCAACTCAGATCAT